GCTGGGACAGGCTGAAGCCAGGATCTCAGAACTTAATCCAGGTCTCTAGGGTGGATGGCAGGGAATCAAGTAGTCAAACAATCTGCTGCCTGCCAAGGTATTCATCAGCAGGAAGCTGGGTTAGAAGAGAAACAGCCAGGTGCGAACCCAGGCCTTCTGATATAAGATTTAGTCTCTTAACTACTGCACCAGAGACATACCCTTTGTGTCTATTGGGTTGAATGAGTTCTTTAACAGTGTTTTCTCCAAAGAAGACATACAAATGGCCAAGAGTTCTATCAAAAGATGCTCGGTATCACTAACCATCAGTATCAGAATGAGATATCAGCTTACACCTGTTACATGGCACATGTTAGGTCACACAAAACATGGAAAATGGTTCAGATGCATGGAAAACAGTATGCAGGTTTCTCAAAAATTATAAATAGGACTACGATGCGATCCAGCAATCCCACTCTTCAGTATTTATCCAAAGGAATTGAAATCAGGATCTCAAAGACACTTGTATTGGCACCACAATGATCATTGTGGCATTATTCACAGTGATTAAGACATGGAAACAACCTAAATGTCCACCAGCAGATGACTGGATGAAGTGTCACACACACACACACACACACACACACACACACATACACACACACAATGATGAATATTATTAAGCCTGAAAAAAGAAGAAAATATTTCAATATACCATGACATGCATGAAATTGAGGACATCATGCAAAGTGAAACAGGCCAGTCGCAGAAAGACAAACACTGTTTGATACCACTTACGTGAGATGTCACGTAAAGCCTCAGGCCAGTGTTCAGGTTAGGCTGCTGCTTGCAACACCAGCAGCCTAGGTTGAAGCATCAATCAAAATTCCAGTTGCTCTGCTTCTGATCCAGCTTCCTGCTAATGTGCCTGGGAAAGCAACAGAAGATGGCCCAAGTGCTTGGGCCCTTATCACCCATGTGGGAGACCAGGAAGGAGCTCTGGCTCCTGGCTTTGGCCATTTGCGGGGTGAACCAGTGGATGGGAGGTCTCTCTGTCTCTCCCTCTCTCTCCATCATTCTGCCTTTCAAATAAATAAATAAATCTTTAATAAATTTTTAACAAATATGTTGAAGCAGAGAGTGGAAGGGTGGTTGCCAGGCACTAAGAGGAAGGGAAAGGGAGAGTTGTTATTCTGAGATTATAAATCTTAGTTATGCAAAATGACTCAAGTCCTGTGAGCTGATGTACAACATTATGTCTATAGATAATAATAATGCATGATGCTCCTAAAAGTTTAAGAGGCTAGATCTCATGATAAGCATTTGACTCGCAGAAAAGGGGTTGGAGCATCTATATGAGTGATAGGGACCCAGACACTTGATCCATCACTTGCTGCCTCCCAGCGTGCCCATTGCTAGGAGCTAGAGCCAGGATTCCAACCCAGACCTCCATGTAAGAGGTGGTCATTTTAACTGCCATCTTAGCCATTAGGCCAAAAGCTTGCTTCCTGCCTCTTTTTTAAAAATGTATTTATTTACTTTGAAGGACAAAGAGACAGAGACAGATAGAGAGCACCTATCTGTCAGTTCATTCCCCCAAATACAACAGACAGGGCCCAAGCCAGGCTGAATGAAGCTCAAGCCAGGGACCCAATCTGTGTCCCTCACATGGGTGTCAGGAGAGCAGAGCTGAGGCTTGAACCCAGGCATCTCAAGTGGCGGCATTCACCTGCCACCATATTCTTAATTTCCATTCTCCCTTATACCTCGGTATCTTCTTTTCTCTTCCTCAGCCTTCTCTTTATCTTGTTCTTTATCTTCTTTTCTTTATTCTTGTTCTTCTTTAAGTAGTTGAGGCAAAGGTAATAGCTACCTGGTCCACACAGTGGTCATTTTCTGAGATGTGATTCAAATGATTATCGCTGTGTTGCTCCTGGAGATGGGCAGAGCCAGGTCCCTGGCTCTATCCACATGACCTTCTACAGCCCCTCTAGTAGAAAAAGCTTCTAGTAACTATAAGGCACTTTCAGACATATCTCTTTTAAGTCTTTTTTTTTTTTTTTTTGGCAGGCAGAGTAGACAGTGAGAGAGAGACAGAGAGAAAGGTCTTCCTTTTGCCGTTGGTTCACCCTCCAATGGCCGCCGCAGCCGGTGCACCGCATTGATCCAATGGCAGGAGCCAGGTACTTATCCTGGTCTCCCATGGGATGCAGGGCCCAAGTACTTGGGCCATCCTCCACTGCCTTCCTGGGCCACAGCAGAGAGCTGGCCTGGAAGAGGGGCAACCGGGACAGAATCCGGCGCCCCGACCAGGACGAGAACCCGGTGTGCTGACGCCGCAAGGCGGAGGATTAGCCTAGTGAGCCATGGTGCTGGCCTCCTTTAAGTCTTATAACCATATAGGGAGCTGACACAATCTGAAAACGTTCAGAGAAGGAAAATACTTAGCAAGATGGGCAAGTAGTTAAGGTCAGAGCCAAATCTAGACCCAAGTCTCCTCACGCCCAAGCCAGCCCTCTTTGTGTCAGAGCACATGCCTGGCTTGTGCAGGAGTCCAGGCTATTTCTGAGCCTCAGAGCAGCTTTGCTGCCTGTACTTGGATTTGACCATGACCTGTGCACCCTGGTCCTCTGAGCTCCACCTCCCTACCCTCATCACCACTGGCCCTTGCTTGCCTTCCCACGAACCCTCTGCCAAGATGAGTGTTCTACAGATTAGGTGGGGATGCTCACGGGACCATTGGAGCTTATAGTTTAGTGAAAGACATGGTAGGAAAATCAGCAGTTACTTTTCATTAAATACCAGCAGGACACAGAGAAATTGACTTCCCGGGAGTCACCATGCCTGGGCAAGTCTGGACAAAAGAGTGAAGGCTGAACATAGAAAGGGGAAAAGTAGAAGAAGCAACAGACCATTGATATTCAAGCAGAGTGGAAGACATGTGCAGAGACAGAGAGTAATGGAATACCATGTAGCATCTTCAGAAAATACACCTGTGCCTAGTGGGAGACGGGGAGCATGTGGGAGAAAGAGCAAAAATGAGAATGGAGAAAGTGGTTAGAAATCAAATTATGAACCAAAATCCTCTGTGTTGTTGGGCTTTTTATTTAGCCTCAGAATATAGGAAACCACTGAAACATTTATGAAGTGATACGGTTAGATTCACCTGCTACAAATGTCACTCTGGCAGAAATATAGGAGATGGACCGAAGAGGGAGCCAGGGCAGGAGGAAAATAATTGAGCTGCCACAGACACTGGAGGAGAAATGTGGTGATCAGAACCAAGGCAGGAACACGGGGAGTGGAGGGGAAAGGAGGGGGTTCAGGGATGTTTAGGACATGAGCGGCTGTCTGAGTCCCTCTGTGCTGCTAGGACAGAATACCTCATGCTGGGCTCTCGGTAGGTCATAGGCATTTATTTCTCACGGTTATGCAGGGTGGAAGTCCAAGTCCAAGATCGAGGTGTGGGCAGGTTGGGCGTCTGGGACAGCCCCATTCCTCCTGGATGGTTCCTCTCATGGCCATAGTGGCAGGGACAAAGAAGCAATCTGGGGCCTTTACAAGACACCAATCCGGTCATGAGGGCAGAGCTGTGACTTGATCACTCCCCAGAAGGATCCAATGGGAATGGAGTTTCAACATGAATTTGAGAGGGAGCACAGTCAAGCCATGGCCATGGCTAAGCCCAGCACCAATTATGCTTACATTCATGTGGGAGGGGAGGGATGAGGAGAAGGAAGAAACAGAGCCAAGTTAAAATTTCTTCTTGACTAAAGGGGTATTGATATTTTTTATTAAGAATGAAATTTGTTTTCAAATGAATATTTTATTTAATACTCCAATGCTATCTTGAAAGGCAAAATAATAACTCTCATACAAATATAAGGTAAAATGTGCTAAAAGATTTTACTCAACTTATTCATTATAAAGGATAGCCAATAACATGTTGAACTTGAACAAAGAGTATTTGAGAAGCTGGTGTATATACATGGACAACGTAATGAATGGCTAGGTTAGATACAAAACAACAAATTAACCTCCAACCATATCGTAAGTTGTAATCTCCAGAATTATTGGTTCCACTGAACAGAAATTATTTGCACCTCTACCCAACACAAACCTGTAAGGTCACGTCTATCCTACAAAATATGTTATAACATAGTCCTGTGAGTGGAAAATGCGGACTAGCCCTGTAGTAATAAGAATATCTGGCAATCTTGTCTGCCTGTTTTCAAGTTTAGGACCACTTGATGAGTTCAAATGTGGACACAGTGAGTTTCATGTACTCCTGAAATACTGAAATAGAGAAGTCCGTTGGGCAACTGGATTTATGAATTTGAGAGGCTTTTAGAGGTCAAGGCTGACTTACAATAGGTGAAGGAATGGAAACAGACAGTTCAGCCAAGGAAGGTATGCAAAGTCAGAAGCAGAAGAGAAAAGGAAAGACTTAGAAACATTAATCTTTAAGGATGGGTCAAGGAAAAACTGAAAGACCGGTAGTACTGATTGGAAAAATTAAGCCGCAAATAAAAGACACATGAGTTTGTTTCAGAAAGCGAGAGCTTCAGGACCATAAACCAGAAAGTCTCCATGAGGGAAGGCGAGTGCAGAGATACCATTGGATTTGCAACCTGGAATTTCCCTGCCAGGATCTGGAATTCCCCGAAACAAACCCTTCCGCACAAAACTGGCCAACAGGGTTTTATTTACTAGAGAAGCAAATGACCCCTTGACTCCAGTGATGAAAACCATGGAGGGCTGGCTGTGCCACTCCCTCACTGCAGTGAACTCCTGCTAAGGGACAGGCAAGGCCGCTTCAGGCTCTGGGAACTGCAGAGAGACAGGGTCCCACCTCTACATTACAGGGGTTCAGGCTCACTGCTACTGCCGTTTACTTTACCTATGACTTGTAGTAGTAAGAAATATTTCAACAGGTGGGCTGTGAAAGTTCCAACCAACTTTAGAACCCCAGGTTGTCTCAACATGTGTGACGTCTTTCTCCTTAATTCCCACTGCTGCAGGCTTTCCCCACCATCACAGCCGCACCTGCTCGGACAGCAGCGACTGCACAGAAAAAGCCACTTTGCCATCTCTTCTTGCGTGAGACTGTACTGCCTTCAGCACCCACACTCTGCCCCTTGGCCCTCCGAAACCTTGAACCTGACTGGAAAAAGGCAGCCTGGTATAGTAGGAAGAAAACCAGCCTGAGAGACTTGGAATCTACATCCTGATGCTGTCACAAACTGCATGCTGAGAGAGAGAGAGAGAGAGGGAGAGAGAATCTTAGGCAATGCCACTTCATTCCTCTGCACGTTGGTTTCTCTACTATGTGGGTATCAGAATACATATGGTGAAAGAGTGGTAAAGGGGACCAAGGATTTTCTCCCAGGCTTTGCCATTGGCAAGGGCAGTTGGAAGATTTAAGAAGTTCAAGTTTGGGGAGCAAGAGTTGTTACTGGAATGCTCTCAAAGGACTCAAGCTAAGAGGGGAAGGAGAAATCGGACACCATGGTGCAACCTGCCCTGGGACTCCTTCAGAATATGTTCATTTTTCGTTCTCCTAATTAAATTCCAGACTATCTTCCGCAGTAGATGCCTATTTTTCTTCTTGAGTTCTGATCCTGGAAGACCTACTTGAAGCCTTGTCTTAAATTCAGTTCTGCCCTCTGCCCAAAATTCTCTCTGCATAGGAAAAGGGATGATGGGCATTCAAGATGACTCCTCCTGACCACGGCAAACTTTCATTATATTTTCTGCTGGCAGAATACAACACAATTAAAAATATATTTTAAAATCATGGTATGTTTTAAAAAATAATTAACAGTTGTGGTTTGCTTTGCAGAACTGTCTCAGGGTTTGAGCACATAACGATAGTCTGCTCCATAGTACTTGAGTACAGAGCATCTTGCAAATTTTTATTTTGTTTTTTAAAAATCTATTTTATTTATTTGAAGGACAAAGTGACAGAGAGAGATCTTCCATCTACTGGTTCACTCTTCAAATGGCCAGGAGCCCAGAGCTCCATCCAGGTCTCTCATGTGGGTGCAGGGGCCATCTTCTGCTGCCCCAGGTCTATGAACAGGGAGCTGGATCAGAAATGGAGCAGCTAGGACTGCAACCGACTCTCTGATATAGGATGCCGGAGTTGCAAGCCGCAGCTTAACCCACTGTGCCTCAATGCTCTTCCCTGTTCGGAACATGTTAGCTACGTCCCTCCCCCAAGGAAATGTTATCAGAATCAGAGAGGTATGACAGGCACATGCCCAGTAATATAGTACTTCATGGCCTAATACATTGCAAGACAATGAAGACCAGAAGAGAAGCCTTTGAATTTGAGGGAAATCATAGCCATGTGTGTTAAAGAGAAAATTCCCATTGTAGGACCCCAAAAGCGGTGTCCTCTTGTGACGACCCCAGAAACACAGACTCCAGACCAGACGATACAATAGAACAGGAGGTAATTTTATTTCATTTGCGCAAATGGGCCCTCTACTGCTGCAAGCAGCAAGCAAGCGAGAGGAGCCCCGAGCAGCTATCTTACACAGCTTTTAAAAGGCAAAACCACAAAATTAACATACTATAGACTGGCGTAAGTTCATTGGATAATTTTCAGTAGCGGGCCTTGTATGGCAGTCTAAAAGTGGTAATGTCGGTGGAAAAGTATTAGGTCAAAGGGATACATTAGGGGAGGGGGTTTCTAGGAGAGAGGAATAGGTTGCTACGTGCCTTGCAGCTTTCTTTGTTAACCTTGAGCAAGCGTAGGGAAGGGGCTTATCTACAAGGCAGGTGTTCTGTGTATCTCTGGTTAGTAGCTGACTGCTTTCTCTGTGAACCGGTTTACTCCCCATTTTCCAAGGCCGTCTCTGGAACGGTTTGTCTCAGGAGTTTTATTTTATTTTTTTTTTTAAAGGCTATTTTTATGGTGACTCACAGCCGCTTCTTTCACCATGAGACACGGTAGCAGACATGCATTGTTCTTCTTCCATGTGGTTGTCAGCAACAGGGGATCGATCCTAGCTAAGCAGAGACAAAGGGCTGGGGAATTTTAGAGGTCTGGGGTCGGGGGAGTCTCAGAACATCTGTGTTTATTCATTGGCCTCACCCAAAGGAAAAGGAAACCTCCCCATATCTTCCAGCATGGAGATAGGTTGATAGCTTAGTGGGAACCTCAGCCCCAGTCTAAGGCTCCTACCCTTGGGAGACACAGAAACTGAGATGGGGGCAGTGTCTTCCCTGGGCTCCACATTTCAGACATTGGTCTCAGGGCCTAGCAAAGAAAATCATCCCTGGGTTGTAAAACTGGAGGGAGGCTACAAAATTTACATCTCAAAAGGACAGAAAAAAGATTTACAATAATAATATATAAATAATATATATATATATAAATAATATATAAATAAGTTACATAAACTTCCTACATGTAGTGCTCTAAGGGAGATCAGGAGCCAAGGGGGAGTGGGGGAGAACTCTGTTCACCCAAGCTGAAGAGAAGTTAGTGTCACCTTTGTCAAGAAAGAAAAAAGGAAGATCTGAGATTGGTTCCAAGGGCCCAGCAGATGCCAGAATCCCTGTGACCCAAGTCCCTTCTAGGAAAAGGAGTGGTGTTTGCATAAAACAACTGCCTATCTCCAGTATGTTTTAAGTCATCTCTAGATTATGCATGATACCTAATGCAATACAAACACTATGTGAACAGTTGTTATATTGCATTGTGCAGGGAATAATGACAAGAAAATGTGTCTGAACACATTTAATACAGGCACAATCTTTTTTTGAATATTTTTCATCCTTGGTTGGTTGGTCGAATACATGGAGGTGGTGTTAGGTAGGAAGTCAGATATGAGCTTATGTGTGTATGACAGGACTAAAGAGAAGACATCTATATCCAGCATATGCATCTACATCTCAAAGTCATCCAGATAATGTTTCAGGGGCATCCTGCCCTGCCCCCTTCTACCTGATAACCTGCCAGGTGGAGGTCCCTGCCCCTTCTGCCTGACAAATCTTCCACAATCTCCCAGATGCAGCCCAGTATCTGCATTTCAAACACCCTACTCCAGATCCCCATTCTCTAGGGGATCCTGCTCACCCTTCCTCTGAACCCAGGATGGCGCCAGCTAGGCTTCCTCCTGTCTGATACCTTCAAGGGAAAACTCAGATAGGAGCTTCTTAATATTTACAGCCATAAAATCCTTTGTTTCAGGAGGAGATGTGTGAAGACAAAGACCCATCTTCTTAAGCCCCCAACCCCACCCCACCCCCAGCCTCTGCCTCTCTGCTGAGCCGCCCTGCCTAGTCTGGCCAGGTGTAATCTCTCCACTCAACCATGTAACCTCACTCCTTCCCCCTGCCCGAGCGACTGCACTCTCTCTCAGGTCCTGTCAGGAGAGGTGCCCATCTGTTCTTGCGGATGTCCCTACCTTAATAAACTTTGCTACTTTTTACTTTCCACTACTCTGTCTCATGCCTGAATTCTTTCTTGCAGGAAGACAAGAACCCTCCATTCTGCGGTAACAGTGGGACACACGGATGTGCGGAGGGCTGGCTCTTCATTTAAAGAGACTAACAGTACATTTGATCCCATCTTTTCAAAGAACTGAATCTGGGCTGCAGAAAGAAACAATCCCCACATGCAGCCTCGCCAGAAGCTCCTCCTCGACACAGGGGTGGATAAACTGAAAGTGTATGGGCCCCTGTATCTCTGTCTCTATTCTAGGTTCTTGCCCCCACAGGGATAAGAATTCAAAGCAGAGGCATAACTGTGGTGCAAAGAGCAAGATGTATTCAAGAGAGACAGAGACATGCATGCTTGTGGGCAACCCCATAGGCAGAGATACCTCCAGTGGGCCGGAGAATTGCCTAAGGGAGTGGGGGAAGAAGCCAAAGTGGGACCCATAAGCACAGCTAAGAGCAAATGAAGAGAAAGGGTACTCCCGCATTATCAGTCTTTTTTATGATGCGGGGTGGTGCCCTGGTTGAATATACAAATGGGGTGGAGTTTAGTGTGAACAGGACTTTATGGGGTTTTCATGGTGCCTCCATATAGAGGTCAACTTCCACATGGCCATCATAGCATCTCCTCCGTCCTGGTCCTGGAGAAACACAAAGGCATCATGGGAAAGTGGGTGTGTTTGACTGACAAGTAAGGGGGTAGAGTTACAGTGCAAGACTGGCAGGAATCCCGGCTCATCTATTTTTACCTAACTCCCTGCCTATATACTCCTAAATCAGATGCATCCAGGGAGTGTCTCTCTGTAGGTAAGGATTCCAGGATGGTTTCAGGGGTGGTCAGGATAGCTTTGTCTGACCCCTAGAGGCCCCTTTTCTCTCCAGGGATGGGCATAGCATCTCCTCCATCCTGGTCCTGGAGAAACACAAAGGCATCATGGGAAAGTGGGTGTGTTTGACTGACAAGTAAGGGGGTAGAGTTACAGTGCAAGACTGGCAGGAATCCCGGCTCATCTATTTTTACCTAACTCCCTGCCTATATACCCCTAAATCAGATGCATCCAGGGAGTGTCTCTCTGTAGGTAAGGATTCCAGGATGGTTTCAGGGGTGGTCAGGATAGCTTTGTCTGACCCCTAGAGGCCCCTTTTCTCTCCAGGGATGGGCACATGCAATCTCAGGATAGGAGAGAGAAAACAACAGTGCTGCCTCCCCCACCCCTGCCATAAACAGACGGAAGAGCTGAGAGATGAGTCAGCATCTTTTGCAGAAGACTCTATTATTAGTCCCAGGAACCAAAGCTTCCCCTGCTCCCTGTCTCCTTAGCTCTCTACAGCTCCACCTCCCTCTGTTCACTACCAAGGAAGGAGGACACTGCCTCCGATCCCACGTGACAGGAAGTGGATGTTTCAGAACTCTCTGGAGTTTCTGGTCCCCAGGCCCTTCCCTAGTTCCCAGCTCCCCCTGGCGTCAGGTTGACTTCAGGACAGCCACGTTGCGAAGGGAAGGTCGGTTCTATGCAGTGACTCGGTGGCTGGTTCTGTGGGGTGTGGCCCTGCCATGTCTGTGATGATCTGAGCTGTGCATCTGCTCACCTGCTGAACTGTCAGGTCTACCTGGCATGGGGCGGCAAGGGCTGCCCTGTATTCAGGTCCTTGGCTTCATTTCCAACCAGAGTTCAGGAGTGTGTCAGAAATATAGTGAATAGCAATCAGCAAGCATTTTATGCAGAAAGCAAAGATACAGACTCCACAAAGTTTAACTGTGTTTACCATTATATGAGCCAGACCGGCACTGTGGCGCAACGGGTTAACGCCCTGGCCTGAAGCACTGGCATCCCATATGGGCACCAGTTCTAGTCCTGGCTGCTCCACTTCTGATCCAGCTCTCTGCTATGGTCTGGGAAAGCAGTAGAAGATGGCCCAAGTCCTTGGGCCCCTGCACCCACGTGGGAGACCCAGAAGAAGCTCCTGGCTCCTGGCTTCAGATCGGTGCAGCTATGGCCATTGCAGCCATCTGGGGAGTGAACCAGCAGATGGAAGACCTCTCTGTGTGTCTCTACCTCTCTCTGTAACTCTGTCTTTCAAATAAATAAAATAAATCTTTTAAAAAAATATTATATGAGTTGTTTAGTGGAAGGGAAGGTACATTCTAATAAAGGGGAGAAGTAGTAAAGGTTTTTCTGGAAAGTAGGTGGAGTGGCTCCCACCCCTTGTCATTGCTCATGTGGCCCAGTGTTTCCCACCATGGCAGCCATCTAGGTGAGACATGGACCCCTAAACTGGTATGAGACTCGTCCAGGCAGAGAGTCTGTTTAGCTTCAGAGCAAGGGGAGCCAAACCCATATCTTGTAGGTTTTAAAATAATGGGCACTACCCCCCAGGAGGCGTAACTGCTCCCTCCCCATCCCTGCCATGCACTCATGGGGCAGCAAAGTCACCACAGTCCTGAGAATCAGGACACAGGTTGGTACCTCCATTCCCAGTGGAAAATCTGAGAACAGTGGATTGCAGAGTAATATCGGAGCTTAAACAGGTGAGTCCAGTTATCTGATTGCAAAGAAAACAAGACTCAGAACTGGAAATGAAATGGCTAGTGCTGTGGTGTAGCAGGTAAAGCTGCTGCCTGTGGCACTT